GTTTTAACGATCATTAGTTAAGTGCCCGTTAGAGCTAATTTAAGGAACGTTTCTGAGTGCGGCTGATAGTGACTCTTTTTTAGTAAAATTATTTTCAATCAAAAACTTTGCGTAGAAATTACTGAACTGCTGTTGAAGCTTATTATTACCTTTAGTACTTACCATAAATAATTTTTAACTATTTCAGCTATTTGGGGATATATTTTTCCCATTTTTTCCACCACGCGAGCGGATCTCGATGTCTCTCCAATAAATATTCTTGAATATATTGATTACCCCAACTATGGCAGACGTTAAAAAACTTTTGTGGGCTTACTTAGATTTTTTATCAAAATCACTCCAAAGAGAATTGCCGTTTGTTTGATCCACGTTGTGTTCCGGCAAATTATAATTTTGAAACTTGGTTATACACTGCTCTTCAAAATTGTATTTTGCAACCCGATGTTTTAACGATGATGATTCAGTAGCAAAGTATCGACATAATTTTTTCAATACTAATCGAATACTCAAATTGCTCAACAGTATCAAATACATGCTATTCGATACTCGATACTATTCATATCACTAGTGCTGAATACGGCTAAACCCAAGTTGATGGCGTTTGGAGTAAGCTTTAAATACGAAAGCGAGCAACTTGCAGAAATGATTAAAAAACAAAATGAATGTTTAAAAAGTGCTGACTTCAAAACTTATTTAATACATTGAAGTCAAGAAAGATAAGTCTAGATACTATAATGTGCACATTGAAAAGGACGTTGATACGTTCTCGGCAGTGATCAAAAGCGAAAAAATAAATATTGGGAGGGAGAAATGTAGAGTCCAAGATGGTATGGGTGTATCTGTCTGCTACAAATGTAAGGGCTTCAATCACATAGTTACGAAGAGCAAGGATGAAGAGGTCTGCCTGAAGTGCTTGGGTAATCATAAAACAATAGAGTAGGGACACGAATTTCGATACGATACTATTACGTTCCTGACTTCAAGAGCGTATTTTCAATTCAAAAAGGT